CAAGGCTCTAGTATTGAAAAAAATTTTGATAAGTGCAGATCTAGGAAGAATTGAGTTTGATTTAGGGGTCTCCCACCCTGCTACTAAGGGTTGAACCCAAGGCCTTTGCACTGAGCTACATCCCCAGCCGTTCTTAAAATTTGAGGCAGGCTCTTGAGAAATTGCCCAGACTGAGGTCAAACTTGTGATCCTTTGCCTTAGCCTCCCAGAATGCTGGGATTATAGGTGCGGGTCACCATGGACTGCTGGTTTAGGTCTCTTAAAAGTTACAGAATGTTTTTACTAGGAAACTTCCAGTAATGTGTTGTAGCCATGTGAGAGCCAAGTGATTTAATTGCCAGAAATTTTTTGAGCTGATTGATTTTGTGTTGGGAGGTTTGATATCAATTATTCTGAGAGTACTTACAGCATGGAAATAGGCAAATACTCCAAACTGAATTCTTTTGTACTAGAAAACCAGTTGTTAAACTTTCATCAGCATACTACTGGATAGTTATGATCTCCTCATTCAGTCTGGAATTAAACTAGTCTCATGGGGAGATAGAAAAGCTCCTATATATGTTGGACAAGATGAAATGAGTTGCAATCTGTCACTCACAGCATGTTCAATATTAAGACTAAGAAACTAGCCAGGCACAGTGGCCCAAAATTATAATCCCAACATGGAGGATGCTGAGGCAGGACAATTGCACATTTGAGCCCAATGTGGGCTTCATAGTGAGTTCAAGACTGGCTTGGACTACATAGAGAGATCTTGTCTCTAAAAACCAAAAACCAACCAAACCAAACAAAAAAAATCCTATTTTAGATAATTTTATTAAAAAATAATCTGATTCTGAAACAAGCAGATGTGGGGGTAGGGTAGAAATCTAGGAATTGGGAATACTTTAAGTCCAGATAGATAGGCAGATAGGAAATTCTTCCTGCTGATTGCGGATTCTTTTTTTTTTTTGGTGGTACAGGGGATTGAACCAAGGGGCACACCACCACTGAGCTACATCTCCAACCCTTTTTATTTTTTATTTTGAGACAGGGCCTTGCTAAGCTGCCCTGGCAGCACTCAAACTTGTGATCCTCCTGCCTCAGCCTCCCTCAGTACTGGGATTACAGATGTGTGCCACCACATTTGGCAATAGTGAACATTTCTGAAGAGAATAGCAGTTTCTGTGTAGAGTTGGAGAAGATAAGAGTGGGTAGATTCTGGCCCTAGAGGCATGTTGCATAAAGAAGTCTTTTTTTTTTTTTCATGCGAGGGACTGAACTCAGGACCTTGCACTTGCAAGGCAGGCGCCAGAACCACTGAGCTAAATCCCTGGCCCCATAAAGAAGTTTTATAGTCTATATTATATTGAGTATAAAATTATTACAAAAAACAACAATTCTTCCCCAAGCTGTTAGGTATGGATGCAAATGTTTCATGGTATTATATAGGAAGTGGTTATCAAAGTATGGTGATAGGTCAGTATATTAGCATCATCTAAGAACCTATTATAAATGTAAGTCCAGGCTGGATGTGGCAGTGCATACCTGTCATCCCAGCACTCTGGGAGGCTGAGACAGGAGGTTCAGAAGTTTGAGCTCAGCCTGGGAAATTTAGTGACTTAGCAAGACAATGTCTCAAAATAAAAATAAAAAGGGCTGGGGATGTAGCTCAATGTGAAGGCCCTGGCTTCAATTCCCAGTACAAAAAAAAAACAGAAAAAAGAAAGAAAAAAAGCCAGCCACATTCATAGGTTTTCCCTTTGCACTTAGCATATTGGAAACTTGTGGTGCGGAACTCAACAATCTGAGTTTAATAAGCTCCTGAGCGATTCCAGAGCACACTACTGGCATAGAAATGTCTTAGAGTTTCTTACTCCTGTCTAATAGAATCTACTTTCAATTCTAACTCCAAACAGGAAGTGATTCTGCTTGTAGAAGGGTTTCCAACTCAACTGGAAGATACTTGAAGAAGGTAGATATAGCAATCAAGACAACAACAGGGTTAGGCACATATAAAGAAGCTTCTCCCAAGAATGCTAGCCAAGCTAGTGTTTTCCTAAGACTCCTGGAGAGTCTAAATCTTCCTAGAAATCAACAGAGAAAAGTTTTGTTTTGTTTCACTTAATTTCATTTCAATTCATTTCTTTGACATAGGGTCACATCATGTAGTCCAGGCTGACCTTGAGTTTATGGCAATCCTCCTGGCTCACCCTCCTGAATGCTCGGATTGCAGGTGTGTGCCACCACAACTGCATAAAAGCTTCATTTTAAAGTGTACTCTGAGGAAGGGTATGAAAGCCTAAAGCATCACTGCAAATGCTAATATGAACAAAATGAGATCCTGGCATATATGGGTGAGGCAGATTAGAGCGTGGCAAAACTGGCTGGGCATGTAGGTGTGACTTGTTAACCATGGAGCACCTGGAACCAATCAGAGACTGGTATCTTCAGTTCTTAGGAGAACTCAAGCAGGTTTTTGACAGGATGGTTTAATCCTGATGTCAATGTGAGGTGTGACAAAAGACAGCAGCCATTAAACTCCCTTTCACAATGGTCCACTCTCACCTTGCAGGGTATAGTTTTCCTACTCTTAATCAGTGCACACTTGCTCTATAGAGCATGTTTCTTTTCCTACCTTTAATAACTGTAAAACCTTATTACCTTATGCACTTGTTTTGTCCAATTCTTTGTTCAGGACAAGAAGAACTTAGAAAGAATCTCTAGAAGAAGATGCCAGAATCCCAGAACTCATAACATGGGGACAAGAACAGTGTCAATTATATTACTATGTAAGCAAATATTTCATTTTGCCTCTTGTATTCTTAATTATGACATCCATTTCTGAGCACTTACACTTGGCCAGATACTGTAGTAAGTATCTCTGTAAATTATCTCATTACTAACCTCTATCACAAATGAGGAAATGGAGGCCCAGAGAAGTAGAGTAACTTGTCCTATATCACACAACTAGTAAGTTGTGATACTGGGATTCAAACCCAGACAGTTTGGCTCTTGAGCACCACCAACTAACCAAAAAGTTCCACTGCTTCTTTTCAGCGAGGAGAACTTTATTCTGTATCAAACATTTAGAGGTTTGGAGTTCCCACTGAAGAACACAGATTGTTGTCTTTTTTTATTAAGTTGTTAAAATAGTTTTCATGAAGTTTCAAGCTAAAAGACTTCTTTATGTATTGTGACATAACTAGACACTGGGCCCCACCTGACTAATGCCATTAAGTTCTGGTATCCAAAGAAAGCAATAAGGTGAGGCAAGCTGTCCCTGTACAGGACATTGGTATAATGATGGCAACCATACTCACACTACTGAGTCTCAATACTGAATGTTTACATTCCCCCATTAGAAGAGGAAATACAAAGAGATCTGCAGATAGGGGAATAAATGTAGACTAAGAACAAAATCCCTCATCTGGGTATTTGCTTTGCCTGAAATGGACTGGATGAACTTGTGTAAAGTGAATTATTTTTTAATTGTCCTGGGAGTGATGACTATTGGTTTTTTTCATTACATCTACGTCTAGCCACGCACACTGCGGACACGTGACAGTTGCTCACATATTTGTAGGATAAAAGGAGAAGACAGAGGAAAGATGGGCAGGAGGGAAAAAATTTATAAAGGTAAATTCACGTTTCAATGTTTTTTGCATAACAGTCACAAATGGTGGTGGAACCTTTGCTTAGGTGTTAAGAGAAAGCAATAAGTTTTCTAATTTTATGTAGATGGACACTACAAATAAATGTGAAATGAAGCATTTGGGGAGTTTTTACTTAGATCCAGTCCATCTTCTGTGGGCAGCTTCATGGAATTAGGATAACTTTGTATGCTTGCCATTCTAAGAGTTACTAATTCATGTATGTTTATATTCATTTATTAAACAAACATGTATTGAGAGCCTCCTATTTACCCAGAACTGTAATAGGTGGTGAGGTTACAAAAATGAATGACATCAATTCTGCCCATGAAGAGCTCAAACTGGTATAGAAAAACCTTGCTATGGCTTCATAACTCTTCAAATTTACTAAAATACAGTGAATTGTTCAATTTATTAGAAAACTGTGAATTGAATGGAATATAAATTATACTTTAAAAAATTGCTTCAAATATACAAAACAAGATACAACTCCTGAGTACTACCCAATACCAGGGTAAGGTGGCTATAATTCAGCAAGTTAGAGGGAAGCTTAATGCATGAGTATAGTCTGAGCTGAAATTAACAAAAAAAGTTGCCCGGTAACTTGGTGAAAGATACAAGCAGAGGGGACAGGGTAAACCAAGCCAAGGAGGTGAGAAACCGTGCGTGTGTGTGTGTGTGCGCGCGTGTGTGTGTTAGGTAGGGAGAAGACAGAGGGAGCCTTTAGAGATGGCCAGTCATTGGAGGGTTTTATTTAAACTGGAAAGTGATATAATCCGTGATCAGATTTGCCTTCGATAAACCACACCGAGAGTAGTGAAGTGATAGAAAGGACACTCAAGATTTTTTTTTTCCAGAATAACTTATGCATCGGTCTCAAAGATGCCATTCTAAAGCTAGATGTGTGACATAAATATCAAGTATTGTATTTTTATTCAATTGACCCTCATGGCACAGTGTTGGGATAAGGATGTAAAGATTAATGTACGATTAGCATTTAATAAAACTACTGTTGATTTTTACACTAAGGTAAGAAGTTAGTTAAGGAGCGGGGCACCCTTCTCTTTGCTCGTTTGGAAGCCTGATGGACACTTCTGCCCTTACACGGGATTGAACCCAGGCCTCACATGTAGAAAGTGAGCGTGTTACCGTTGAGTCACAGCTTCTGCCCACTTTAGTCGGTTTTTAAAAAGTCCTTAACAAATTGGGAAGGTTCCCTCACAATCTATTAAAATCCTTCTGAGTACATCTGCATGACACACACAAAAAATAACAGAGGAAAGGAAAAGAACAAATTACAGCGTCTTCAACAAGGTCGCCTTGCCGGAACCAAGGCTCCAAGGGTCGCGGGCAGCACGGAGAGCTCACAGTGACACCGCCACGCCGACACTGAAGCCTAACTTCGTCCCTGCCCTGTTCCTCTTGCTCCTTCTAAATCCTTCCCCTTTCGCCAATCCCGGAGCGGAACCTTTTTAAAATTCTTTCCAGTTGAGTCGTGGGACAAATTTCGTCAACACAATCCGGAGTGGTTAACATGGCGGCCGCGATGAGATGCCTTGGCAGGGGTAAGTCAGAGGCTTGTTTCGGGCGTAAAATAGTTCTGGCACTGAGTTCTCGTGCGGCAGAGTGGCAGCCAGAGTGCGCTAGGCACAGGGCATCCCTAGGTGCTCGAAATGCGTCCTGCTTTGTGGTTACAGGCTCTCTGGAAGGTCATTTCTTAAAAGCGACTTTTCGGAGCCGGGGATTTAGCTCTGGTTTCGCCGCCTGCTGCGCAAGCGCAAGGACCCGAGTTCGATCCCCGGTACCAAAAAAAAAGCGACTTTTCGGAGGGTTGACTCCTTGCTAAATAACCGGTCTTTCGAGGATGTAGTGGGAAATGGATTGCTTTGACTCTCCCAGTCACCCGTGGGGAAAGCAAGGACAAAGTAGTCCTGGGTGTGTGGGCGAAGGATCGGCAGAGTTTAATACGTGCATAGAGTTCAGGTAAGAGAAAGGTTGTGTATTTAAATGGGTTATGTATGTAAACTTTGTCAGTTTTAAAAGTGCTTATTGGTTCTTTCTGGAGGCGATTCCAGTTCTTCCAGACATTATCTAATTTAGTAAATGTTTATCATTCAGAAGCAAATTCTGTAGTTCTTGGTAGCAGCTTTTCAGGAATGAATGAAGTCCACAACTTGTGTCATTCAGCTAGAATGACAGTCTTTTTGTGCAATACTTTTTTGCTTTTGTTTTGTTTGAAGCACAGTAATATACTGTATGTTGTTATTAAATTAAGCTACGTCGTCAGGTGGAGGCAACAACCAAAAACCATTTTATAGAGGAGGAAACTGATCCTGGTATGTTGGCCAAATTCATACAGTAAGTGACAGAAGGCCCGAAGCTTGTACTCTTCCTAAGCCACTGATGTTCTGCAGTGCTAGGGAGTGAACTCAAGCATGCTAGGCAGGACTCTGCCTCGGAGCCACACCCCGAGTCACTGTCCCTCCTTCCTTTTTTAAACAGTGCATCCAGTTGTCCTTATGCGCTTCTTGAGAAAAAAGCTTAGTGTTAAGACCAGCATCTTTTACTTGGGATACTTGTTCAAAATTTAGATTGTCAAGAGCCCACAACAGACTCAAGTGAGCAAATAAATATATGTACATAAATATATATAATGTAAGCATACATAAAATATTATATTATGTACATATTTATACACAATATTATTATGTATATATTATAACTGAAGGGATAAAAATTATATATTAACATATATTTATATGTTTATATATAAATTTATATTTTTTTAACTGAAGAGATAAAATATTGTATTTCATGTATATATTTATAACTGAAGAGATTAATGGTATTATCTTCATATATGGCAGAAAACCAAGAAAGGAACAGAAGGTTATCATTCCCTTTTTGCCACATTTTCTCCTCTTCTAGGATACTTTTTCTTACTTTTTTTTCTATTTCACCTGTTATTCCTTCTCATGAGTTGGTTGCTTCCTCTTTCTCTACCTAGTCTCTTTCCTTGGAATGTCACAAAAGCCAGGATTCCATACTTCGTTCTCACCTTTTTGGTACCTAAATTCTCTCTTGGTGTAAATGCACCGCCCCCCACCCCCTTCTCCTAGGAACTGAACCCAGAGCCTTTGCACTGAGCTATAACTTCAGTCCTTTTGAAAATTTTTTTTGCGACAGGGTCTTGCTAAGTCACTAAATTGCTAAGTTGCAGGGCCGGGCTCAAACTTGCCATCCTCCTGCCTCAGCCTCCCAGAGTGCTAGGATTACAGGCGTGCACCACCATGCCTGCCTGCAAATTTACTCCTTTAGTGATCTCATCCATGTTTTGTGGCTTTAACTATTGTCTGTATCTTAATGGTTGTCAAAGTTGGGACCTCCCTCCTGAAGTTAGTCTTACACTCATCTGAATGTTCTAGATTTCTACTGGATAGCCTATGGGCCCATGTTTAAAATAAAATTCATTTTTAAGGCCTGCAATCTTCCTCATCTCATTTGATGACAATTCTGCCCTTTCAGTTGTCCAGGCCAAAACTTGAGAAGATCTTTGACTTCTCTCTTTTTCTCACACTTCATGTTAAGTACTTAGAAAATCCTATTGACTTTATCCTCACATTAATACAGATTCTGACTTCTTACTATAATATTGTACCTACCCTGTTTTTTTTTTTTTTTCTGGTATCTGTGATCGAACTCAGGACCTTGCTCTTGTGAGGCAAGCGCCACTGAGCTAAATCCCCAGCCCTACACCTACTTAGTTCCAAGCCACAACCATTTTTTACCTGGATTTCTCAATAGTCCACTCTGCTTATGTAGTAAATTGTTCCTTTAAGAACTTAAATCATATAGTCCTGTGCTCAGAGCTCTGCAAAGCCGTCCAAAGTCCTTAACTGGCCCACATCTGTGCTATTCATTTTGTTAGTCACCATTGAACACTTCGTATTGGGCTAGTATGCATTCAGTGGGGCAAATACACATTAGATCAACCAGCCCACCCTCCTTTGCTCCCTCTCTCCCTTCTTTCCTTCACCCTTCTCCCTCCCTTCATTTCTCTGCCTTTCTTCCTCCCTTCTATCTGAGCTCTGAGGTACAGCCCCAGTCCTTTTTTATTTTAACACAGAGCCTCACTAAGTCGCTCAGGCTAGGCTCAAACTTGTGATCCTCCTGTCCTCCTGTCTCAACCTCCCATAGATTTTTATTTTTAGTATATGTTATTTTTTGTTTTTATTTGCATTTATTTTATGCTGAAATTATTTCTTTGTTAAAGTTTTTGTTTCTTCAGGTTTTTTTCTGGGATATTTTTTCTTCAGTACAATCTTCTGGTTTAGGAACCACTTGTTTCTTTTCAGTATGGATTATCTTAATATGGCAGGGGAGTTCAGGTTAACCAGGGTTTAACCTAGGTTAACCTGCCCATGAGCTAGATAACATGGTTGTGCATCCTAGATGCTTTTTTCACCTGGATATATTCAATGAGCACAGAATTGATATCTAAATTCTTAAGTTCAGTGGTATTCTGCATTTTTAAACTTGGCCTGCAAAAATTCATCACTTTTGGGGAGCACTACCCTCTGTTCAGCCCCACTGTTTGGCATGAGCTACATATCAGCTTTTCCATTCTAGGCCCAGAATTGTACACACTGCTCATTTAAAAGTTAACATCTTTTAGGTACTTGGTGGCTTTTTGCATATATCAATCCTTCATGGTAGCTGCAGCTTCACAGGTGTTTGTAAAGAGAAGATGAAGATTTGAGGGGCTGGGGATTTAGGTCAGTGGTGCCACCACCTGCCTTGCAAGCGCAAGGTCCCAAGTTAGATCCCCAGTACAAAAAAAAAAAGAAGATTTGAACTTCTTGATTTGCTTGATTTTTGTGGGATTTTCTGGGTCAAGAGAGTAGTGAGCCATTTTCACAGATCACCTTAGGCTGCTTACAGGAAGAGCAATATTTTTCTTTTTAATTGACCCATAATGTACATATTCATAGGGTACAAAATAACATGAACTCTGCAGTGATCAGATCAGAGTAATTGGCATATCTATCACCTAAGACATTTGTCATTTCTTTATATTGGAGGGAGCACTCAAGATCTTCTTTATACTGATTACTTTAAAACATATAATTAATTGTTATCAACAGTTGCCCTCTATACTATGGAACATTTGAAGTTGAAGTTTTTTCTCTGCTCCAACAGCACCTTTGTATGTATTAGCCATCCTCTGTACCTTCCCTTTGTCCCCCCAGCCCATCCCAGCCTCTAGTAACCACTCTTCTACCTCTACTTTGAAATTGACTTTTTAAGATTCTGTTTCTAAGAACATGCAGAAATACACATTAAATTTTGAAGGCTTAGTACAAAAAAATGTAAAATATCTGTATTGAACCCAGGGCCTTTGCACTGAACCACATCCCCAGTCCTTTTTATTTTTATCGTTTGAAACAAGGTCTAAGTCAGAGTTGCCCAGGCTGGGCTCAAACTTGTGATTCTACCAACTTAGCCTCCCAGAGTGCTGGGATTACAGGTGTGTGGCACCATACTTGGCTTATTTTACCTTTTTAAAATTGAAGCTATTAGAAAATGTAAAATTACATGTTGCTCACATTATACTTCTATTAAACAACACCGGCCTACAATCATCTACATCATGTTACTTGCCTTCTTTCCCCAACCTCCAACTCACCTCTTTGACCTCTTCATTTAACTTCCTTCATACTCTGCTATAGTCACAGAGGCCTCCTTGTTTCTTTCTTTTTAAAGACAGAATCTTGCTATGTAGTGCAGGGTAGCCTTGAACTAATGATCCTACTGCTTTATCCTTCTCAATGTTGGGATCACAGGTGTATGCCACCACACCCGGCTCCTCCTTGGTCCTTAAACAAATGAAGCCTAGCTTAACCACTTTATTTAAAATTGCAAACCACTTTTCCCTCATACTCAGTCTCTTTATCCTGCACTCTTTCTTTCCTCTCATATTATATATATTTGTATTGTCTCCCTCACTAGAACATAAGGTCCATGAGGATAGAGATTTTGTGTTTTGTCCATTGATATATCCTAAATAAGTGATGGCAAACCTTTTAGAGTTTTCAGTGATACAAACAGCCTGCTGTGGCATACATGGCATTGGTTCACCACCACTGTCCTAATTGTTTAAATCAATGCTAGCACATATGCTGTGTGATCAAAAAATACAGTGAATGTCCACATTTAAAAGTTTATTTCAGTAAAAGACATTGCCATTAATGTCCCTCAAAATACTCCCCCTTGCTTCCAACACACTTTTCCCATTGTTCTCACCACTTTTTGAAGCTATTCTATATGTCCTCTTTCATAAGTGTCTTTAGTTGTGCTGTTGTGGGTGTTTTCATGTACTGAATTGCTTAAAAACATTTACCTTTCATGATTTTTTTTTACTTTGGGGAAGAGCCAGAAGTGGCATGGTGCTGGATTGGGTGAATAAGGTGGATGAGGACACATTATAATGCTTTTACGAGCCTGCCTTTCTGTTAGACAGCAGTTGGCAGCAGCATTTACTGTGTTTTTGGTCATATCTTGTAAA